AGAGTGGACAATCAGTTATGAGCCCTAAATTTTGTGCTATCGATTTGCTATTATTTTCGTACTCATATAATGGTCAAAACTGTAGGTTTTATATTATAAAAGTGGTTCTGATATGTTTCCCACTTTTTTATTCTTTTGGATAATTTAAGGAAAGGGAATTAGATACAATATAAAATATTAATGTCTACATTTGTAACCTTTAATCTTACTATAATGTATCTATGTATGTAACCAAAACTCCGGCGCCATCTACTGAATGGCACCACAAACAAAAATCCATAAAAAAATTCCCACTTTGGGTATTCAAGATTCAGACAATTAGAAAAATAACTGGTACGTGCAACAACCATTTCTTTATAACAGAACATAATTTTAAATAAAAGTACTCTCCTCACAACAATAACACGACTTTCACACGTGAGGGTTTGATTATATTGTTATTGGTGTAATTTTTAAATTTCATACTGAGAAACTGGAGTTCTTAAAAGAACTACTTTTTGTTTTCAATAAACGGTCCTACTTTTAATATATAAAAAACATTACAGTTTATATCAGTAAAATTTATAAAAAGTTTGAGCTCTGTACATTGAATCATTTTGATGTAATGAGTTGCGTATGACTAAAGAGCACAATCCGAAAACTTTTCCCGTACAGAACTGACCCCCCAAAAATCCTTTTTTTAGAAAATTTTCCCTTTCTCTAATTTTTTCAATGAGGTATCAACACTACGATTAGACAAGCAGCCGCCCTAAGGGCGGCGTTCCTGCTAGTTTTAATAAGAAAAAATCACGTTATTTTGAAGTCTTTATGTCCATCGGAAACATGAAACTTTATTGATGTATTATTTTTACAGGGCGGCATAAATATAATTGTTACGAAACAATGGATACAGAATACAACCCAAACTTCATGCGGATTATCAGTTCTGGTCTTATCATCTTATTGATCAAATTTTCTTTTTAAATATTAACCAGAATTTAAAATATCGCTTAACTGTGGCTTACGCTTAACTCACCGCGAAATGTTTCATATCAATCAGAGGACGAGTTCCATGTTCGAAAGTTTATGGCGAAACACGAATCATTGTTTTCCGTTGTTGTCGTTAAAGCGTAAACCTATACAGTGGGCTATCTGTGCTGTGCCCACCACGGGTATCGAACCCCGATTTTTAGTGTTATAAGTTTTCACACTTCCCCCTGAGCCACTGGGGAGCTCATTGGTTTGAATGAACATACACTGGCCCCAGTGGCACAACGGTATGTCTGCGGACTTACAACGCTAGAAACCGGGTTTCAATACCCGTGGTGGGCAGAGCACAGATAGCCCATTGTGTAGCTTTGTGCATAACTTCAAACAAACAAACATACACTGAGATTAGATTCTATATGGTTAAACTAAGAAGTGAGCTGAATGCTTTTAGTTTAGATGAGTTAAGAATATAAAATACGTATCTACTGTACACTGACTTACGGTGGTAGAAGAAACAAGAAGAAAGCTCTAGAAGTAAACTGTGGTACCAAACTGGTTGATCCAGTTACACTGAAAAGAAAAAAAGTTAAAATTCAATAACGGTATTTACAAAACGCATAAACAACGTTTAACCGCTGTATCAACTAATGTAAACGGTGCAACTTAGATGTCTCTGAACAGATATTATAAATAATCACACCAAGTCATTCTGTTTTTTGACTATTTTAATTACTTACTTCTGTCTGCTAAATTTTTTATTAGGTTTTATTCAGGTTAACTAGACGTGTATTGGCCGTTCATTCTAGAAATCTATTTGACAATTATTTAGAATGACTATATTTCAGCTCTTTATTTATTTCAAACTTCTGGATAGGTAGCTGGTGAACATTTACTCTGAAAAAAAGGATTTGCATTGGTTTTTAACTTTCAGGATCTAATTAGCTATTAGATCTTTACCCAGGTTTATCAGAACTCTGCTAATCCTTTATTTCAAAGATACTGGTACCCACTGTAGCTTTACCTTGCGTGTCCACATATCTACTGGCCCTTAACTTTAACGATCTAGTTACATGATCAGGCTTTACCCTATATACCTAACTGTGTATTTGTCTTGTACGTTAATTTTCTATAGCTGGATCTGTACTGATTAATTATCTTCAGAATCAAATTGCATATTTGAGCTTTGTCCAAACAGACTTGCTAGCTACTGTTCTTGTGCTTTAAGAATATAATTATTTAATGGTTTTTAAGCGCATTAATTGGATTTCTTTTCGTTTTTTACCTAAAGGTTCTCGTTATTTTTTGAGGAGTAATATGGATTAAATATACACCTATTTGCCGGTTAATTTAACAGTTTAGTTATCTACTGGGTCTTTAGTCTGATTAGCTTGTATTAAGAAACCACCGAAGACCAAACATTAGAGAAATCACAAAATAAGAAACTCGATAACCCGAGTGCTTTCGGAAGGTAGATCTTCCTCCTTCGGAAGTGAATTGGAATGTCTTTTGTATTTTGTAAATATGCCGTTTACTATTGGACACTTTATCTTGGTTAAATGGCTCCTAATATTTTTTCTAACTGCCACATATATATAAAATATTCCATTTTGTACCCTAAATGCACACCTTTTTTTCTTGTTAACGTTCTCACTCTGGGTCACTGTTAATAATCATCTTTCGTAGCACTCCCAATCGTTGCCCTATTTGAAGTCTCTTTCCTTTCCTTCCAAAACTTGGGATTTTTATTAGCTTTTCCCCTAGATATCTGTGTTACGGCAATGACGATAACTTATAGATGTTTTGCACAAAACGATGCAATATACACAGAACAATCGATGTTTTCTTTCTCACGTTACTATGAAATAATACAGTGTTACTATAGCATGGAGGTGTCATTAAGCTCTGATACATGGGGCTCGTGCTCCGATTCTGTTTGAAAGTGCTCCGAATCCCCAATTGGTGTCTTGAAAAATCACAATAGAAAACCATGATCAATGTCATACAGAAACGCTCAAAATTACCGCGCTTATGGGCCAGAGCTCCAAATCTTTTAAGCACCAAGTGACTTATCCGCTGTAGCACGCTGATTTAACTACAAAAGTGTATTGATTCGAAACTGCAATTTGTATTTCACCTTCCGTGCTGAAATTCATTTCTGAAACACCTTAGATCCTGAAAATTTTAAATAACGACATTTCACTCACCCAATATTTTTTAACTAGATGAAACAGATATCAAATAACAAAGAATTCTTCTCTGTGAAAACCAGATTTTTGGTGAAATATCTCAAATTATGAAGGCACTATTACTTCCTTCATATTTGCTACGTGTCTTGTGGCGTAGTAAAACAAATATATCATTGACAGGTTATGTGTGTCTAAGACCTGTGTCCTGAATAACGTGAAATGTGAATTATATATAAAATACATAGCTACGTTCGTTCACTGATATACATAAAATTTTGTCGAGAACATAAATCAACATCACAAAAAATATTTGATCAATATATCATAAAGAGTAACAACATATGTTTCACAAGTTAGATAAAAGCAAAATCATTATCAACTCCAATATTTTAATTTTACGTTATATATATAAATATATAATAAAAAATAAATATCAAATTATTACAAATGTTTTGTGGAAAGCATCAAATTAAAATATTACTTAGCAACCTATGCGAAGAGTAAGATGTGTATCACCAACATTGAAAAAATATTAATTTTAGCCTATTAAACCCTGATTCGCTCACTACTGACTCTAATTATCAGTTGTCTTTCATTGTCAGTCTTCGTAAGGTCAATATTATTGTAACATAAAAATACAAAAGACCAAACAAGGCAGCTGCTTGCATACATCGTAACTACCAATCAACGTTTTCCGAAATTTAAGTTTTTCTCACGCTAGGACGCCATGTGAGACAATCTTTGCTATTCGATAAACATGTTCATTAGGATTTATAAGAGAACTTGTGCACTGAACGCATAAAATTTTTAGGAAGAATTTATTCAATCAGAATTTTGCTTGACACAATTAAACAACATACGGTTAGCACTGATGCAAAAACAATATACAAAAATCCATGGATTTGTGAAATTAATTTTTTTTTTAAATTGTTGAACAATGTCCAGTTAAACAAGATATTTATGTAAAAACAAATACAAAAATTCGAGGATTTCTGAAATTAAGACACTTTTTTAATTTTTCTAATTGAACGCTGGCCAAAACGTCGATAATTCCCAATATTCGGAAATTGCAGTCATGTCTTTTGTCAAAAACTTGAATGAAAACGTATCATCTACAATAGAGTATCCAAAATAATGAATGGATTGGTTCTGACACGTTGTGGTATTTCCTAACTCAAAACAAAGTGGGCGGTTTTAATCAATATCTGCAACAATACAGGAACTGACGACAACTAGAAGATCATTGATTGTTACAGAAAATAAGATAGTATCAACAAAAGTTAAGGTTATAATTCCTAATGCTGCTTGAATTGATAAATTTATATTCCCAGTAATAAAAGTTGAGATATTCCAATCTGGAACTATAGAATGTCGTACATAGATGTCTTAGTTTTATCTATTTTGAAGCTTTATGACCCAAGGAAATTACCACGAATTCCAAATTATAGGATGTTTCGGATATCTTGCTTCTTAAAGGAAATATATTGCTGTAAAATTAGATCACTTAAAATCCTATTTCACTATGATAGATAACAGTGGTATAAATGTAAAAAAAAGCTATAGTAATAATTCTAAGTTTATATATACATGCTTCTATGCCTACTTATCTGTTAGGCCTACTGATTTATTTATCTATCCACATATCTATCTATTGTAAAAACAAAACAATATACTCACTAAATGATAGTTCCCACTGCCACGCCAAGAATTATCAGGATGCTGAAATGATAGAAATGTTTTAGTGTCTTACTTATATCCATTATATATATATATATATATAATATTCTCATACAGAAAATGCTAGGTTTATTTCAAAGAAGCATAATAAACGAATTTTAGAATCCTATTATTCAGTAATTATTGAATCCGCTAAAACATTTCATTTGGTGAAATAATTTTCTTTATAAAACAGTGCTATTTAAGAAGCTTTGTTGATATAATGTACCATGAAATGTGTGCAAGTTTTTCACTTAGGAAAACAATGGCTGACAAGAAGGAAAGCCCAATAGAAAATATTAGGGTGCGTTGATATGAAATCCAATGTTTATCAACAACAATACAAATGCTTAAATCCCTTTCATCTAGTATCGTGCAAATCTAATCTGCAAAAGACAGTTGCTTATAATTACTCAAAATAAATAGGTTTGTTGTAGCATGTCCACAAAGGTGAAGAACTCCAGGTGAAAAATACTTATTTCTATAAGAGGGCTGGTTTAGTGAAGGACACTTTCAAGAAAAGCTGTCCTTTTACGTTCAATATTCCACTATTGGCGTATGTTGTTAGCTATTAACCTGGCTATTCTTTTAAAAATCCCAAAACTTTATCAAAATATTAGTTTTAGTTACTATGATTTGATAAAGAAAGTAGTTTATTAAATATGAGCTAAATGTTATAAAGGTCTGAAGAAAATATTTTCCAGTTGTGCTCTTATTTGGTATTTGTGTAACTAGCATATTTTTGTTATATCGCTTACACTCATAATCTTTATTCATGACTTCAAAATTTCTACAACTATAGGGTTGAGTATGTTATATTAAAACAATTCAGTAGTCTCACCACGTCTTAACAATCTAAGTTGCCACGTCCAGTAACGTTCTATCTGCGAACCTTGCATCTTTACAATAGCCCTGCAAAGTAATTTCCATCGCAAAAGGCTTTATCGCATGGTTGTCATGTCCAAAGTTCATCACTACTACCTACACTTTTGTCAACAATTTGACTACACAGAAAGCCATAGGTGTTATGTCCGATGACTTGCATACCAATATATCGTAAGGAATAGCATAAACATCCGTTTATTCTCCTGCTGCTTGAGATTTGCGACAGCTGAATGCATACATCGTGAAAGCAGCTTGTTCACACGCGATTGTGTTGTTATTACAGACGAAGATCCTTCTTGATTATGCTGTGTTGTTGTTGCCTGGGGCATATGTACAGCTTTTGTCATTGCCCTTCGTGTTTTTTGCTCAGGGCTGAGGTACGACTTGCTGAAGGTCTCTTTCTGGGGGGTCATGGAGCCACAAGTTGATCCATATTCGTTTATTTTTCAATGCATTAAGTACAAAGGATATCCCCGTTTTAGAGCTTCTAAATCCCCGATGTGAACACATTTATGTAATGTACGTGTTGGAATGTCTTGCGATGGAAAGGGCTCTTACATACCTTTCCCAAATCAATCAATTTTTGGTTGCATCATACTACTTTAGGAATTCCAAACAATGTCAAAACGTAGTTCTGACACATGCCATTCCACACACACAACTTTATATTGGCTGTGTTTGTTATGTGACTTCTCAATATAAAGTACTAAACCCTCTTTATATCAGTATTTTTTCTCTTTTCAATATCGTGTTGTATGTAATAGAAATATATGGATAGTTTTATATAGCTTAAACATTCCTGAATTTCGAAAAAAAGTCTTCAAACACGCTGAAATACATACGATTTGCGTTTGATGTATTGTGACAGTATTTTTTTATCAAAGCTTATACTCATCGGTTATATTCGGAAAATAAAGTTCTGTGTAAGGATCTTTCTTATGTAATAAAAACAACATTTCTGTCTTTTATATATTTCGCTACTTGTCGTCAATAAGCATTTCACAAATTCTCCAGTTGACATTTTGCCTCTAACAACTCTAGTTTTACTTTGTTGAACTTCAAAATAACATTATTTCGCAAGTACTTTGAAAACTAAAGATTTCTGAAATAGTAAAAAAAAAGGAGACGAGTAAAAATATAGAAATGATAAACTTAGCAATAAACATCAAAATGTTAATAGAAAATATTGAAGAACGATTGAAATAGTTGCTTCCTGGATTTCCTAATTTTTTGCTGAACAAATATGTAATGGAAAACCAAACTACAGAGACCGAAGGAATATAAGATTTATATCAACCCTGTCAATATTTTGTCCACTGACAGCGTTGATAGCCCTAAAATGTAATCAATTAACCATGACAAATAGTTAAGAAATCTCTAGAGTTATCACTGTAAAGTATCTCAAACATATTTTTCTAAATCTCCTGAAATGTCAGATATTTTGACAGGAAACTTTATAAATAGATTTTGACATAATGATAAGATGTATCAAACTTGGTAACACGTTGCGAGAACGTGAGATATTAAAATATCAAGTTTCGTTTGGAACGTATATGCTGGACTATGATTCTCACCACCGTTGGAATGTATTTAATGATATTGTATCATCCATGTTGAAAAGAAATTATTATGTACATTTAACCTTAGAATTATCGATAGGGCTAATATAGGATCCCTCAGATGGTTAAGCAATTTTTTTTCAAAACTATTGTGCACTAACTTGCTTGGGTCTAGAACGTTATTGATTACATAATCCCTACTGTTACGACAGCGGAAGTCACGTGACGCTGCTGGCGCATGCGTGACTGTGTTTCTTGAATTATCAGGGAACTCCGCGAATGTTGGATAAGCCTGGCAGCAAAAAGCCAGGGGATGATAAAGCAAACGGTAGTTACTTTGAGTTCCGGGTAATTTACAATTCTGTTTCGAGCTAGTGTGTGTTTTGCACTCGTAGAGAGCAAATTATCCAGATTGTGAATCGCTGTGATTTATAGCGTGTATTATAAAAGTTGTTAAGTTAAAGTGACGAGAAACGTACTGACTGTGGAATTACTGAGTACTAAAAGTTTGTATCGAGAAAGAATAAACTGGTTTAATCAAGAAAGGATTTGTATCGCTGAAGCTCCTCGGAAATAATTTCTTTCGGAAATTAACTAACAAGCGGATACGCAACACTACCAACATATAAGTAACAGACAAAAACACCATTATTGGAATTCATCCTAGTAATTACTGCTGAGGTATTTTATGTATTATGTAGAAAATGAGTGGTCTCATACAATTGTTTTGACCAGTTTTTTACACTGAGAGTTATGACAGATAAGAACAATAGAAGTATTCAATATGAGTCAGTATTTGAGCCCCCACCCTTATTGAACGGTATAAAAAAAGTCGATTAGTTGAGAGTTACTGTAATTTTTCAGGATACATATAAAACTCATAACTATTGCATATGTTAACAACTAATAAAATAAAGTATTTGTAAAATCTAGTCACTTTAAAAGCTAGTATTAAACCTATAAATAATATCAACAAATTTTAACGACAAAGCGTTAAGCAGCTAAATCATGTGCCCAACGATGGAGGGGGGGGGGGAAACTTTCCAAGCCCAGCAAATAATATAACATATTTCCGTCGTTAAACTGTGAGTATTCTCTGTTTGGAGCACAAATCCAACCTACTTTATATAAGTAACTGCGTTTTGGTTTGCAGTGTCTCATGGTACTGGTATAAAGTAATCACGTGATAGTTAAGACTAAGTTCTGAAAGTGTATTTAAAATCCAGAGTATAGAAATTAATTTGTACATATAGCAATACAAGATAAATGTTAATTTAAAAAGGGGAATATGGTTCGTTAAAAAGTACAGAACCAAGGTGAATCAAAATATAAAGATTATATATTCAAGCCTACAACTAAGAAAAATTTAAACAAACTAGGCTAGAAATACTGTCTACATTATTTTCTCAAGCTACCAATCCCTATTTTGACTCCATGTCTATAGTACTTATCAATTTTAGGCTTTTTGCCTTTTAATAAGTATCTATTTATTATTTTTATTAGTCACAAAAGCTGAAATTACATCAGGCTCTCTTTGACAGCTTCGTGGCAGTCTGACGCTGTTTCAAATAACCATTAAAACTAGGGATGAGTATCTCATCATAGTAGTCGATACGATACGTATCTAGATATTGATACTTCAAACTGTACAGTACTTTTTCAAATTCTCAGGTTTGATCAACTAAGTGGCAGCTGGCATGAGAAGTAAAATAAAAACAGTTAATATCTGTCTATCTATTTTGTTATTGTTAATTTGTTACGTTACTTTCCATGTAATGTTTTTGATAAAATAAATAAAGACAACATGTAATACTCATCTTCCTTTATTAAATCATTAATTTTTAGCAAAAACACTTTATTAGAAATTCTGAATTTTTTTCTGTACAAAAGACTTATAATGTTTACTGAAAGCTTGCCAAATTTTGGCATTAATTTTTAGCAAAAACACTTTATTAGAAATTCTGATTTTTTTCTGTACAAAAGACTTATAATGTTTACTGAGAGCTTGCCAAATTTTGGACGATACATAAATCGTATAGTATCGGACGATGTATCGTTACAATCGTATCACGGCTTCACGATACAATAAGAGTATCGTATCGCTGTATCGCCACACCTTTAATTAAAACCCATCTCCTATTTCTTATCTGATTGGAGATACTTTTTTAAATTCAAGTTATATAGCATGAGTACCCAACCCGTACAAAAATAAATAAAATCAATACCATTTAGAAATTATACACATAGACTAAATTTTTAATACATTTTTTGTATATATTGGAGATATGTCCTCTTTTCCTTATCTGGATTCTTATACCAGTCGTCAGTAGGCTTAAGCTCAACTGTTGCTTATATATATATATTAAATAATCAGTCTGGTGTACTTATTTTTGGAAAGCACACTTATCACAGTGCATTATATATATTAATTACCTATCTAACTGCATAATTATTTGGCACAAACGCAACCTGGTGTTAGTTTATCGTAACAACAAGGGAAAACATTTGTTGAAAAACGTTTACCCACTTCTTCGATAGAAAATAAACAAACATCCATCATGAAACCCTTTTGGTTAGGGCGCTCGGCTCGCAATCATGATCGCTTTTTCAGACTTGAGGACGTTATAATGTTACAATCAATTCCACTATTCGTTGGTAAAAGAGTAGTTCAAGAGTTGGTGGTGGGTGTTCTAGTCTACCACTGCTAAATTAGGGACAGCTAGTGCAGATATCCCTCAAGTAGCTTTGCGCGAAATTCAAAACAAACCAAATCGAAATCCCCTATTTAATATTACGTTTGAAAATAGCACTTCTGTGCAGAGACCATAACTATATTTTTATTTCTTTTATTACATTTGCGTCATGTTAACACAAGAATATGATAACCTATAACCCAAGTGCTTTCGAAAGGTAGACCTTACTTCCCTAAGGGGCAAACTGTTTGCCTCTGATGAAGAAAGATCCACTTTCGAAAGGTAGACCTTACTTCCCTAAGGGGCAAACTGTTTGCCTCTGATGAAGAAAGGTCCACTTTCAAAAGCGTTCGAATTATAGGGTATCGTATTCTTGTGTTTAAATTGATTTCTTAAACCTACGTGTTTTTCGAGAAACATTTGCGTAGTGTTTGCATTGATTTATAAAAGAGAAAATCTTGTTTTGAAATATGTCAGTATGTCAGAATATACCAAAAACCTTGAACATCTTTCCTTCGAGTTTTAATAAATAGCCTTATTATACATTTCTCAGTTATTATTATGTCAGTGTTTAAACGAAAATGAGATGTGACGAAATCCCCCCTCCAGCTAGGGTATTGTCAGGAGAGCTGCATAGCGCATTAGGCCATGTGTAGCTCAAGTAGCAAACTTGATGAATTGATCTAGTTCTTTTAAAACCCGGAAAATGCGCTTGGAATTAACAACCTTGTTTACTCTCTGATGTGAATTTCTATTCAGCAGTAGCCAGATCTCCAGAAAAATGAAAAGAAAAGAGAAATAAATCTACTGTAGCTTTTTATAACTCCACTCTCTTCTTTGGTGATGTACGAGCAGTTAATAAGAAACAACTACTGACACGTGTAGACAGCTTTTACCAAGCTGACTTAATTTACAGTTGTAGCTCAAGCAGTTTGTTAATATAAATAACTTTTCATCCACTACTATGCTTGTCCTACTCGTATCCCAGACAGCCTGATGAGTCCTGGTATTGGACGAAAGGCTTCATACAGTGTGGTTAGCATATTATTATAACAATTCTTTACTTTCACCCAGTAGTTATTATTAATAACTGGACATCGTGACTTAGCAATGGTTCATATAGTTACTAATACGTTTATACACAATGGAAAAAAAAACGATCCTTAGATCATCGATCCAGGCTGTAATAGGTTAAAGGTAAATAGTACGTCTTCTTTATTACTTTAGCAGTATGTAAAAACGTTACAGAACAAATAGATTAACGCTCTTACTGAATATATTGTTTTCTTTTTTAATGCACTTCAATTAGTAATATACGCAACGTTTCTCGTACATTAGGTGCAAAAGAATTTCGTTTAAAGCTATTACGAGGACCATCTCGACCAGCAATCCCTAATTTTGAAGTGATAGACAAAAGGGAAGATAGCTAGTGAACACTACCCACCGCCAACTCTTTACCAACGAATAGTAGAATTGATCGGCACATTTTATCGTCCCCGGTGACGGCATTCGAACCCCATATACAGGGGCGTGGACTGTTCTCTTCCACTGTTTTGAGGTACTTGTACTACATGAGGCATTCAACGTCCTTATTGTTTACGGCCAGCTTCGCGTATTTTGCCACTTCCTCGTTCTACCCTCATATTCGGCAATATTCGGTAGAATTGAAATGATTTTCCCATTATTTATCCACTTATCTTTATTTGGAGAGGAGGAGGGGTGGTGGTAGACAGACGGACAACTCTGTTTTATATATATACATATATATGGATTGTACTGTAAAATACTGTACTACTTTTTTGCTCTATTAAAACGGTAGTAATCATCTTTTGGTTTCACTTATCTGACAAATATTCTTCCTCCAGACTTAAAATTTTGAGAACACCTGATTTATGAGAAAACCCAATTTTAACTTCTCTCTAGTTTCAGTCATTATTTTGTTGCTGGGAGATAATATTACGATTCTGAAATTTTGAACCACTTGCAGACATATATGTAGACTAAACCTATGCAAGTTAAATATTTTAACCGTTCCTTTATAAAATTTCGCGTATTTATGGTGATTTGTAATAAAACTCATAAGAAATTAAATATCTGGATTTAATTATTTGGAAAATCACATACACTGTTTTTTGTTGTTGTTAAGTTATCAAAAATGTTGTTCTGACTTTCCGGCTTTCATTAGAACACACGTTTTGTTTACAAAAATTGATTTTCATGTCATTAGCGCCGCTTTACATACAAATCGCCCAGCGTAGTTTCCTTGACCAATTACGCTAATGAAACTAATTAAATTTATGTATTTTTAAATATAAGAACATATTGTATGACACAAATTATGTGTATTATTAAGAGTTTAAACTAATTCTAGTACTCATCTGTGTAGAAATCAGATGGATCACTGTGGTCAGTTACATGTTGGAAATAAATTGTATTCTTGCAATTCACTCGTATTTTGTCACGGTTTTCAATCTATATAACATTTTAAATCTTTGAGAATAACACAGTACCATCAAATGGGTCATGCCAAGTACACAGTACAACATTTTTTATTGATTGAACTTGTACCTACTTGCTATACTGCTGAGTTAATAGTTACATTTACCCCATTGTTACATTGATGAAGTTTTCCTCCAAATTGAAAACAGTTTAATTATCAGTAGAAAAGTTTAGCATGAATCATTTCACCTTTTACAATATAAATGATAATATTATTTTTCCTTTTTTTCGAAACGTAGGTAGATAGATGTGTCATGCGAGACAAGTTGTTTGTGTTGCTATAGCAACCAACTTGCAACTCGCTCCTAGCGACAATATAAACACGAGTTTGGAGGAAGTAAAAAAAAAATTAGTTTCTCTTTTAAAGTTACAAACGCATTTCCCATTATATATATATATATATATAAAACTGATCGTTATCAGATGAATAGCTTTTTAGTGGTATAATATACTATTAAATTTGGATTCAACTTCGCCACTTTTTGCATTATATTAACCCACATGAATTTCACTTGTTTAATGTTTGTTTGTAATTAAGCACAAAGCTACACGATGGGTTATCTGTGCTCTGCCCACCACGGGTATCGAAACCCGGTTTCTAGAGTTATAAGTCCGCAGACATACCGCTGTGCCACTGGGGGCTTTCACTTCGAATTATATGTTTAAGAAACATTTCCAATTGTAATTTGTACAGTAATTTAATGATGATCATTGTTAGAATTCGGAACTTAATATTAAACCATAAAATTAACATTTCTATCATTTTATGACACAAAATGTTATGTTATAAATCGAACTATGAAGTTTTTCTGGAATATTTTAATAATTAAATTATTTATTTTTATTTAGATAAAACTATCAAACACAATTAAAATTTTCTGAATGCATGTCTAAAAGTTTTATATAATTTAAGAGAAAAATAATTTGACTAGACGTAATTCTTATATTCATTTTTACAATGACAGCATTACACATGAATTGTTTTGTTCTACCAATTTTGTTTATGTTTTTTTTTTTTTCACTTCTTGACCTTGGATATACTTTCGGTTTTAGGAGACGTGTTTTTAGAAAACAAATTTCTAGGAATTATTTTAAATTATTTTAATTAAAAAATCTATATATAAAGAAATGGTACCAGTGATTTTTTTTTTATAATTTCCATGTATTTCTATTTATTTAATACGCCTAACTGATTTTGACAACAATCAGGAACGGTCTTGCACTGTTTTTTAACGTTACAAACACAATAGAAACAGAAGTAACTGGATCACCATTTGTAAGAAATCCACATCATTTCACACGAACATGAAACTTTCATGAAAAATTCCTAGCTTATTTCTGTAAGAGATATTTTCACTCTAATATTTTTGTTAATGAGTCGTATAAGTCAATTATTTGTTACCACGGTAATCGCCGACACCACAAAAGTATGTCATTACATAAAATATATGTCATAATTTAATGTTTACATATTAATACATTAACAATTCATTTTCAGTACAAAGTCAAAATCGACGAACTAAATTTTTATCTGACTTCTGGAAATAATTTCACCAAGATCAAGATAACAAACATTATACTTTCAGTTATTAAAAATTGGGGAATTAAACCATACTTACCATGATTCGGGAATTACAGAGGAGAGAAAATTAGCATGATGATATCCTAAACAAACAACAAAAATACAGTTTTAAGTATGTTCTCGGAAAAAAGTATAATTTATCCTGTTCAATCGAAAATTAAAGACTGAAATAAATAAGCAACATATGTAACCCTAACATAATGATTCCTTTAAAGAAGAAAGAAAAACTTAGTTGGTAATTTGTTTTGGTTTGGTTTATTTAGAATTTCGTGCAAAGCTACACAGGGGCTATCTTCGCTAGCCGTCTCTAATTTAGCATTTATAGACTAGGGGGAAGACAACTAGTCAACACCACCCACCGCCAACTCTTGGGCTACTATTTTAACAACGATTGACCATCACATTATAACGTCCCTACAGCTGAAAAGGCGAGCATGTTCGGAGTACTTTTTTTTCTGATTTTTATACAAATACCAACTTCTGCCTTTAATCGTAAATTCACTTGACATCTGTATCTCGTTAGAGTGTGAAGGACTAAAAGTATTCAGAAGAGAAACATACAAAGTCATTAGTTAATAGTTAATGAACCAAGTAAATGTGGTTAAGGAGTTACAGTGTAGCCTACTAGTTAGCGAGTCATGATAAACAAGTAAATTCATATTAACCATTAATTCTTCTTGAGAAAATTATGCTTTCTGATTTAGTACAGAGGTTTTCGTTGATTTATGTCAAAACAACGTTATCATTAAACAGCTCTTTACTACAACTGTGTGAAAACGATGAACATCGACCCATCAAGACATACGGTTACTTATGTTGCAAGACTTCACAGAATTTTCATTCAGGGCACGTGTAGTTCTTCACATACTGATACCGCGCGTGGCCTAGTGGTTAACATGCCCGGAATGTGGATCCTATTATTCATGTGCCCATGGGTAGGCTATAAAAGTATAGCTAAACTATACTGTATCAAGAGTAGCCCAAGAAATGGCGATAGGTGATGTTGACTAACTACTTTTTCTTTAGTTTACAGTTGAAAATTAGGGCCAGCTTTTCGCCAACATTCTGAAAGAAGGAAACAACTCGTCACATATTGTGTAACACTAATAGGCTGATGTGGGCAGTTTAAAAAAAAGGATAATTTATGCCTTCCTAACAAACAATAAAATTCTCCCTAGCTAACATAGCAGAGAGATTTTTCGGGAACCAATCACAGCATACGAAACCAATTGAATTACTTTCAAACTATTATGCAGAGATGTAGCATAATTAAGCTTCGGTTTGCTACGTCTCAGAATCCAAATTGGGCGATTAATCAGCTCTGATCAATCCCTAGTACAGGGATCAGCGGTAAGAATGGGGCTTATAACGCTAAAAATTTGTGCTTATCAATATACAAACAAAACTTAGTATAGGCACTGGTGTGGCTAGAATTTTATGCTGGCTAAAAATATCGAAGGAACCATTTCATAATAACAAATACATCAATCTGAAAATGTAAAAATGCCATTGTTAAACTTCAAAGAAACATATGAATAACATTGAAATTCTTAGGCTTAAAACACAATAAAAGGAAATGAACAAAGTCTTGGAAAAGGTTAAAAAATTAACTTCTGTTTACGTTTTTCTTCGAGATGTGGTTATATAGAAATGTTTTGTATTCTAACCAAATGGAGCAGAACGTGTGTCCTGATTTGCTGATGGCTCCATCCAAGTTTTATTTTTACTGTCGAAAATTCTGACAAAGTTCCAATGTATACTTTAAATGTGTATCATATATTCATGATGTTAGAAAAACATGTAGGTTCAAGAAGTCTTGATAGAAATGAATAAAAATCCTATAATCCGAGCGCTTTCGAAAGGTGAACCTTTCTTCTTCAGTGACCCTGAAGAAGAAAGGTCCACCTTTCGAAAACGCTCGGGTTATAGGGTTTTTATTCATGTGTATCATATGTCAGACTCCACAGCCTACACATAAAACGTATATTAATATGTACTTATAGATGAATGTCGAAAGACAGGCATCTACAGTTAAGTTTGTATTTTGAATTTTCAATCTGAACGGCATTTTATGGGATACATGATGGGCCGAAGATTCTAAGATTCAGAATTTAGCTCTCCCTAAGTTCCATCTGCTGACCAGAGAGAGTACAATTTGCTAGCATTATCCACCGCCTACTTATTCTTCGGCACAATGCAAGAAATCTTTGACCTTGGTATGTTTTCCACTATGCTACGAACAGTCTGCGATATTACGATGCATAAGAAAATACAGACAGATGGACAAACAAGTAATGATGGAAATATATGTAACTATTTAAATCACGTAAAAAGAAACGACAATAAATGTAAGGCTTAACACGTTTGTTGCCATGTGCTCCACCAGTGGGTCACAGCCGACATTTAGTTATTAACCGCGTGACACACCGATGAATTATATATTACAAGTGGCTTCATAGTGTAGTCACCCATATAAATACAGTGTATCCCGTTAGCAACGCGATCGTTGAGGT